ACCTGGAAGCATCGCTTGTTGCCGACGAAAGAAAGAAAGAAGAGTTTAATTTCCCAAAAATTTATTAAAAAAGTGATTCTGCCAAACGATACGTTATTGGAAAGATGAAATCTTGCTGCAGACGGTGTAGTTGGCTGTAATCTCAAGCTTTATCCCAATCAAGTTTTTTCTGCTATATTAAAAATGTAGGGCTTTTCTGCAACACGTTTAGAAGAACTTGACAAAATGCTGATTAACAACCTTTACTTAAAATTATTCCTAAAAAGTAATTTAAGGTGACTGAATCTTGAAAATTTTTGCTGTATCATTTATGAGCATTGCAGCTTGGTAGTCATAAACTTGTCCCTGCCTCTTTCTTTACCCCATCAAAATTAATTAAAAAAAACACAGCCCCAAAACCTTTAATCATATTTTTAAAATTTAGTAGCTATCCTAGCAAAATCGTTTCCTTTAATGTTTGTATTGTTTTTTTCTTTATAATCCCTAACAGACAAATATTTAATGGCTACGCATAAAAAATACCCAACAGTTGATTTAATAAAAGATGTGAAATGCCAGAATCACTCAGGTTAGATGTGGAATTAGAGATTTAACTGGGGGGACAGTAGAACTGGGCACCAAACGGGGCTGAAGACGGAACTTTTTTACTTGGGATCTCTGCGAGCGACAGGCAGGTGAGCACCCAGTTGTACAGGTACTCGGCGGGCGCTGAGCCGTGCTGCCACACCGCCGCTCGGGGTACACCTGAAACAAAGAGAGGTAACTCCAAAAGCCAAGTTCAAAACTGACCAGCGTTGCTACAAAACCGAACAGAGATCATCCCATCAGCAGAGCTTTCCCTGAGTCCAGTAATTCCACCCTGGAAAACGGTGACGCTTTGCTTAGGGACATGGTTTAGTGGCAGTGCCAGGTTAACAGTTGGACTTGAAGATCTTCAAGGTCTTTTCCAACCTAAATGATTCTATGATTCTATCTGAAAAGCACACAGCGTTAGTGTGACAGCAAGTGGTCAAGCCCAGGAGTGCTGCCTTTTTACTGTAATTTCTTTTGTGTTGTGGTAGGTCCCCTGTTGTACAAAGTGCACTGCTATATTTTAATGCTAAACAATTGATAATTAAAAAAGAAAAGTGCTTTTTTTCCAAGCTCGGATTTGATTTAAGAGTCATATCCTTCAGAGCTCTTTTAGTAAATGCTGCTAAAGGTCACCACAGAATGGTACCATTAAAGGTTGCTCTGTCGATAGAGTGTAGGTTGGTTTGTGCTCTGGTCTATATTGCAGCACATGTATATGGAACATATGGGCATTATCCAACATACATCATGTGTTCATTTTAAAGGAATTCCTATAATTGTGATTTATACCCGTATTCACACCACTGATCTGTCACTACTCTCTGAGTAAGTTCCATCCTGGGAAACCAGCCTTTTGTAGCATACCAGCAGTTTGCCAAAGCTGTATATTTTAGTTGCATCTACAACCCTAATTGGAGGAAGACTGGATGCTCTAGGCCTGCTTCATTCTCGCCAGTGAATTACTCTAATATACATGAGGAGAACGCATGAAAGGGAACTATGACTGTATTAAGTGTTCACTGTTCATCAGTAGGCAGGGTACTGTTAATAAATATCCCTAGCTAAATTAACAAGTCTTGTCCACATTTGATTTTTAACAGGCCTCTCAGTCTGGCATTAGATCATCAAAGGAGAGATCTCAATATGAACAACAGTCATTTCTCTTGCAGAGATATTATAAAAAATAATAGCCTCTTGACTGCTCTGGCACCAAAAAAGCTCACGTTCATTAAAGGACAGAAAACCAGACTGAAACCCAGCTCCAGTATAATGGCACCTGGCAGATGGTGTTTACAAAGAGGAGGGCTCACACTCTCCTCCCACAATCGTGTTGCTTTGACCCGTTTGGAGCTGGGTCAGTCCCTTGGGCAGGCCATGGAACTCTGAGGTAGATCTACTTGCCAAAAGAACCATCATTCTTAATATGTCTTTACATGTAACTTGCCAAAACCCAATCATTCTTCAGATGTTTATCTGGGGGTTTACAATGAGATCACTTGTTCTGGTAGGTTTCAAAGCTGATCTGCTCCCCTTTCCTTAAGGCAGTGAATTTTGGTACTAAATTTATCAATTAAATTTATTGACCAAAAAAGACTGCAGATATTTAGGACCCCTCATCTGTTGTTTAATCTATTGTGAAATCAAAGTTAACTTCTTAAGTAAGGACCTTAAAAGCACTCAGCTGAAGGTTGCCAGTGACACCGTTCCATTGCTGAGCTGTGTCTGGTAATCTGACAATCAGTTTATGATATTTACCAGTGATGCAGTCCAGCAGCAGCTCTGCTTGAACTTGCACAGATGCAGCAGTTGGATCAAAGCAATAAATCTCCTGAATCAAATTGTCATCAAGTTTCTGCAATGCAGAGAACAAAAAGGGTCAGGTGGCGGTGAAAAACTTAGGAGAGGGTTAAAGATGGCAAGGTCAAGCATATAGGAAATCTATAGGTAACATCATTTCACTGCCAATTCAGCCCTGGCAAATTCCCCCATATCTTCTTGGGGGAGGAAGAACAGAAAACAAAGTCCCAATATTTTGAAGTCTCACCAGTATACACTGACTCCAGTTCTCAGTCTCCTCCGAGCCCTTCCAGTCTGGATGGAGAAGCAACAGCACAGCCTTAACTATGTTATGTACCAGAGCTGGTGGTTCTTCATAGCTCTTTATGTCAGCAAAGCTCTCAGCATCAAGTTTCTGCACACACTCACGCAGGTCCTGAAGCATGAATCGGTGGAACAGAATCCCTGCATGCCTCAAATTTGCCACATGTTCTGCCTCTGGAATCAAAAGCAAACCTTTCAAGAAGTTTCTCAGAAACAACTGCTACTCAAGGCTTTTGTTACTGACTGAAAGGCTCTGCCCTCTTTATGATTAACTCTTTGTCTCCTTGACTGATTGATTAGTATACAGCCCAAGTATCCCATGAAACTTTTAAAAACGGGTATGTGCTTGAGAATGGGACAAAACTTGGCCTCAGGGGCAAGCAGAGGTTCTGAGACCATGAAGGGTTCAGGCATGGAGGTAATTCTGGAACTGTGACATTCAAATTCTTTTGATCTTAGTTGGGGCAGTTTTGAGGAGGACATGTGAGATCCCTGATACAACAAAGCACCTTGCTTCACACCTTTGATTTCAGTGGGAATTAAGCATAAAATATCCTGTGAACCAGAGTAAAAATCTAAACATTCTGTTTGACCGGGCTCTGCTAAGCACTTAGGCTTGCTCAAGGGTAGCTTACGTGTAGTAAGGTTTAGTATTTGTCTTTCCATACTTGTAAGAATGATACTTTAGATCATGGCTTTACTGAGATTCCTAATTTCACCCCTAAAAACCTATCTTGGCTCTGTATGCACAATACCCAGTACATAGGTTGGTTCTGTTCCCTCTAAAGACATCTTCAGTATCTCAGAGCAGGCAGCTTGGGCCATCTTTAGCATTTTCTGTAGGTCTTTGTGTTCATGAGGTGGTAATTTCTGGTGGTGTCCGATGCTGATATCAAATATCCCAAGAGCTTGTCCTGATAGGTCCCGGAGAGGTACTGCAATGTGGTATTCCCCACAGACAGAAGTGTGAATGACCTCTGAACTGTCTACGCATTTAAATAGGTAAACTCTGAAATGAGAGTAAGAGAGGAAAATGTACTAGACTTTACCATTTTGGTTTCTTTTGGTAATTTATTTAGCATATTTTAGTAGGATGCCATTCATCTCTTCTTCTTGAAACTAAGGTGTGGCATTACTAAACAATTGTTTATTTCCTCAAATTGAAATATGCACAGCTTTAAGTGCCATTCAAGCCATATACAAAAAGAAGAAAACAGCATTGTGGAAAACAACATTGCTTAGCCATGACAATTGCTGAAAATCCTAA